CAGGTATGAGGAACTTCCTGCGGGAGGTTCAGTGGGCCAGAGAGCTGGTAGGAAAGTCAGTGAACGAAATGACGGAATATGTAACAACAAAATGCCAGGAGGCAGAGGAAAGGTTTATTCCCAAGGGCAACAGAATTAATGGGAAGACCAAAGTGAGTCCTTGGTTTACCTGAAGGTGTAGGGAGGCAAAAACTAAGTGCATTAGAGAATGGAAGAGGTACAGAAGGCAAAGGACCCAAGAAAATAAGGAGATCAGTCGAGTCAGAAATGAGTATGCACAGATAAGGAGGGAGACCCAGCGACAGTATGAAAATGGCATAGCATCAAAAGTCAAATCTGACCCGAAACTGCTGTATAGCCACATTAGGAGAAAGACAACAGTCAAAGACCAGGTGATCAGGCTGAGGAAAGAAGGTGGGGAACTCATATGAAACGATCGAGAGGTATGTGAGGAGCTCAAGAGATTTAAGGAAGAATTCACAGTGGAGACAGGAAGGACTCTGGGAAGACAGGACAGATGGAGACACCAACAGGGAATACACCAACAAGTGCTGGATGACATACAATTGAGGAGGTGAAGAAGCTGATAAGTGACCTTGATACCTCAAAGGCAATGAGACTGGACATCTCCCCGTGGGTCCTTAGAGAGGGAGCAGAAATGCTGTGTGTCCCATTAACCACAATCTTCAACACATCCCTTGAAACTGGGCAACTACCTGAGGTATGGAAGATGGCAAATGTAGCTCCCATTTTTAAAAAAGGAGACAGAAAAGAGGCTCTAAACTACAGACCAGTGTCACTGACTTGTATAGTATGCAAAGTCATGGAGAAGATTATCAGGAGAGTGGTGGAGTACCTGGAACGGGACAGAAGTATAAATGACAACCAGCACGGTTTCATGGAAGGCAAATCCTGTGTCACAAACCTTCTGGAGTTTTATGATAAAGTAACAGAAGAGACGAGAAAGAAGGGTGGGTTGATTGCATCTTCTTGGACTGCAAGAAGGCCTTCAACACAGTTCCTTACGAGATTAGTGCAGAAACTAGAGGATCAGGCGCGTATAACGGGAAGGGCACTTCAATGGATCAGAGAATACCTGACAGGGAGGCAACAACGAGTCATGGTACGTGATGAGGCATCACAGTGGGCACCTGTGACGAGCGGGGTCCCACAGGGGTCGGTCCTAGGACCTGGAGTTTACCTGGAGAGAGTTCTGGGGGTCAACGCCCCCGCGGCCTGGTCTGTGACCAGGCCTCCTGGTGGATCAGAGCCTGATCAACCAGGCTTTTACTGCTGGCTGCACGCAAACCAACGTATGAGCCACAGCCCGGCTGGTCAGGAACCGACTTTAGGTGCTTGTCCAGTGCCAGCTTGAAGACTGCCAGGGGGTCTATTGGTAACCCCCCCTTATGTATGCTGAGAGGCAGTTGAACAGTCTCAGGCCCCTGACACTTATTGTATGGTCTCTTAACGTGCTAATGACCCCTGCTTTTCATTGGGGGGGGATGTTGCATCGTCTGCCAAGTCTTTTGCTTTCGTAGTGAGTGATTTTCGTGTGCAAGTTCGGTACTAGTCCCTCTAGGATTTTCCAGGTGTATATAATCATGTATCTCTCCCGCCTGCGCTCCAGGGAATACAGGTTTAGGAACCTCAAGCGCTCCCAGTAATTTAGGTGTTTTATCTCCGTTATGCGTGCCGTGAAGCTTCTCTGTACATTTTCTAGGTCAGCAATTTCACCTGCCTTGAAAGGTGCTGTTAGTGTGCAGCAATATTCCAGCCTAGATAAAACAAGTGACCTGAAGAGTGTCATCATGGGCTTGTTATCCCTAGTTTTGAAGGTTCTCATTATCCATCCTGTCATTTTTCTAGCAGATGCGATTGATACAATGTTATGGTCCTTGAAGGTGAGATCCTCCGACATGATCACTCCCAGGTCTTTGACGTTGGTGTTTTGCTCTATTTTGTGGTCAGAATTTGTTTTGTACTCTGATGAAGATTTAATTTCCTCGTGTTTACCATATCTGAGTAATTGAAATTTCTCATCGTTGAACTTCATGTTATTTTCTGCAGCCCACTGAAAGATTTGGTTGATGTCCGCCTGGAGCCTTGCAGTGTCTGCAATGGAAGACACTGTCATGCAGATTCGGGTGTCATCTGCAAAGGAAGACACGGTGCTGTGGCTGACATCCTTGTCTATGTCAGATATGAGGATGAGGAACAAGATGGGAGCGAGTACTGTGCCTTGTGGAACAGAACTTTTCACCGTAGCTGCCTCGGACTTTACTCTGTTGACTACTACTACTCTGTGTTCTGTTAGTGAGGAAGTTATAGATCCATCGACCGACTTTTCCTGTTATTCCTTTAGCACGCATTTTGTGCGCTATTACGCCATGGTCACACTTGTCGAAGGCTTTTGCAAAGTCTGTATATATTACATCTGCATTCTTTTTGTCTTCTAGTGCATCTAGGACCTTGTCGTAGTGATCCAATAGTTGAGACAGGAGCGACCTGTTCTAAACCCACGTTGCCCTGGGTTGTGTAATTTATGGGTTTCTAGATGGGTGGTGATCTTGTTTCTTAGGACCCTTTCAAAGATTTTTATATGGGATGTTAGTGCTATTGGTCTGTAGTTCTTTGCTATTGCTTTACTGCCCCCTTTGTGGAGTGGGGCTATGGCTGTTGTTTTTAGTAACTGTGGGACGACCCCCGTGTCCATGCTCCCTCTCCATAGGATGGTAAAAGCTCGATAGGGGCTTCTTGCAGTTCTTGATGAACACGGAGTTCCACGAGTCTGGCCCTGGGGCAGAGTGCATGGGCATGTCATTTATCGCCTGTTCGAAGTCATTTGGCGTCAGGATAACATCAGATAGGCTTGTGCTAACCAAATTCTGTGGCTCTCTCATAAAAAATTCATTTTGATCTTCGACTCTGTCTGGTTAGCGGCTTGCTAAAAACCGAATCATATTGGGACTTGAGTAGCTCACTCATTTCCTTGCTGTCATCTGTGTAGGACCCATCTTGTTTAAGTAGGGGCCCAATACTGGACATTGTTCTCGACTTTGATTTGGCATAGGAGAAGAATACGTACTTTGGGTTTCTTTCAATTTCATTTATGGCTTTTAGTTCTTCCCGCGATTCCTGACTCCTATAAGATTCCTTTAGCTTAAGTTCGATGCTTGCTATTTCTCTGACCAGTGTCTCCCTACGCATTTCAGATATATTGACCTCTTTAAGCCGCTCTGTTATTCTTTTCCGTCGCCTGTAAAGGGAGCGCCTGTCTCTTTCTATTTTACATCTACTCCTCCTTTTTCTTAGAGGAATAAGCCTTGTGCATACATCGAGTGCCACCGAGTTAATCTGTTCTAAGCATAAGTTGGGGTCTGTGTTGCTTAGTATATCTTCCCAGCTTATATCGGTTTACTTGGTCCCACTTTGTTTTTGTTATTGAAGTTGAATTTGGTGAATGCTCCCTCGTGACTAATCTCATTATGTCGGTCTGGGGCTCCGAGCATACATGTCTGAACCTCAGTTATGTTGTGATCCAAGTATATTGTTTGATATGGTGACATTTCGTATCGGATCATCATTGTTAGTGAAGATGAGGTCTAGTGTATTCTCCAGTCCCTGTTCTCAGATGTGAAGTTAATGAGAATTAAATCAGACGAGGATCAAACAGGCCTTCAAAGAGACCTGGACAGGCTGGACACCAACTGGCTTCTTGAATTCAACCCTGCCAAATGCAAAGTCATGAAGATCAGAGAAGGGCAAAGAAGACCGCAAACAGAGTATAGGCTAGGTGGCCAACGACTGCAAACCTCGCTGAGGGAGAAAGATCTTGGTGTGAGTATAACGCCAAACACGTCTCCGGAAGCACACATCAACCAGATAACTGCTGCAGCATATGGGCACCTGGCAAATCTGAGATTAGCATTCCAGTACCTAAGTAAGGAATCTTTCAAGACACTGTATGCCGTGTACGTCAGGCCCATACTGGAGTATGCAGCACCAGTTTGGAACCTGCACTTTGTCAAGCATGTGAAGAAATTAGAGAAAATGCAAAGGTTAGTTCCAGAGCTAAGGGGAATGTCCTATGAAGAATGGTTGAGGGAAATCGACCTGACGACACTGGAGGACAGGAGGGATAGGGGAGACATGATGACATACAAAATACTGCGTAGAATAGACAAGGTGGACAGAGACAGGATGTTCCAGAGAGGGGACACAGAAACAAGGGGTTGCTATTGGAAGTTGACTCAGATGAGTAACAGGGATGTTAGGAAGCAGTTCTTCAGTTAGAGTGGTCAGGAAGTGGAACAGTCTGGCGAGCGATGTAGTGGAGGCAGGAACCATGCATAGCTTTAAGGCGAGGTATGATAAAGCTCGTGGAGCAGGGAGAGAGAGGACCTAGTAGCGTTCAGTGAAGAGGCGGGGCCAGGAGCCGAGTCTCGAGCCCTGCAACATACAAGTAGGCGAGTACACACACACACTCTGATGCCTACTCAATATGAGCCAGATACACTGCCTTACCACAAACTTGTCATCAAGCTGAGCACCACCATCTGCTGAATACTATCTAAACCCATCTTGCACAGAAACAAGCCATGATAAAGCCAACTACAAATGAAAACCCCTGAATTGTGGGCAGAGACAGCAGGCAGAAAGTTAAGTGTACCAGCAGCTAGGCCACCACCAGATAGAATAACAATACATGGTCAGTCAGTTCAGCAAGACCTGCACTGACCCTCTATTTCTACACTAAGGGCAGGCTCAAAATCCAGGTGAGTGGAAACAGGCAGTATGTGGATTTTTCTGTATGTCACATGCAGTAGGCAGCATAGTTATGCTTTTACAGGCTGAGATTGCCCCCCCCCCCCTCCCAAAAAAAAGTGGCACACCCAGTGCAACCACACCACCAAATGAATAATTCTCCAACCACGAAATAACAGCCAGAGGCTGTAGTTTCCAGATTTCTTTAATTAGGAACTATTAAAAAACTGAAATCTTTATAGATGCAATGTATACATCAATTTCTTTATTTAATAATTTGTGACTATAGTAGTTTATAAGTATTCTGTTGTACTGTAAATAAAAACAAACACCTTTATAGTGCAATTTCCTAGCAACAACATATCGTAATTACGTATTCCTGTATGGTAATACTGTACTAACAAGCTTGGCATGGTTGTTAAGTTCTGCTGCAGATGCATTTTTACCCTAGATTCCAAAGGCATAGCAGTGCTTTAATAGTGTATCTTAATCCTATCAATTTTTTTTTATCAAGATAAAAGTAGAATACAATTTGGTGCTCATGCATTGGTGAATACAGTACTGTACCACCTAAATCCTAATTTAGCCAGGTAGGCTAAATATTCATATCCCTGTACCACAATTTTTTCTCAACCAAATGTTATTGTAAATAACATTTCACACAATACCAACACCCTATGGATCAAACTTGTCAGGCTCAATACTGAGATCATTAACAAAACAAAATTACAATATCATAAATATGTAAAATACTAAATTCACTCTTCTTTAACAAATTAAAAAATCACAGTAACAAATAGGCCAAAAAAAAAAAAAATTATATCCATGGAAAAACTATAAATATAGTTACCAAACAATTGCTCCATGGTGATACCTACCAAGTTTATTGATGGCATTGAATGTCATGTCATTAACCATTTTTCACCCCAGAAACCTTGACAGTGACACACAAAACAGAAAATAAATTATCGATTAAAAGTACAGTAAAACCTCTAATTAACATATCCCAATTTAATGGATATAGAAAACCAAAAAAAAAAAAAAAAAAAAAAATTAGCCAGACAAATGTTGGACTCATAAGACGAAGTGGAAAAAAGCCCACAGATTCTGGATTTTGTCTGTATTGATAGTGTTGATTCAAAAAGACTTCTAGATATTATCAACAGATCAAATCTGATAATTCCAAAATTGGCCAGTGTCTCCTCATATAGGACCTGTCTGTTTCCCTTGTTCACAGAGCTATAGACTTCCTGCATCAGTTAATTGCCTGTACTTGCTCACAGATACACGTCATTCAGTGTCCTATTATTTCCCCTGGATTCAGTGCCATGTGTAAATACTAACATATTAAAGTGCAATTAACAATGTCTTCTATAGCAAGTGGTGTCAAGAGGAAACCTGTGAATATCGATGTTAAGCAGAGTTGAACTAATAAGGAAGATCGAGTCTTGTCTTAGTGGCACTGGCATGTCAGGAATATGGTCTTAAGAAATAGTGTCTGATATCCATAAAAGCAAGTACAAAATTATAGACAATACTCTTAAGTTTATTGTAGATGTTGGCCCTCTTTCTCAGTCGTCTACAATTTAATTAACTGCTCTGACTTAGTGCTGTATAGCCCTTGTGGCTCAGCGCTTCTTTTTGATTATAATAATAATGCTACGACTTAGAAAAAAAAGTTATTCTGAGTCACCACTATCGAACATGGCACCTCATCTTTCCACCACAAAATTACTGTAAAACTAGTATACTGTACTGTCCTCTACTGTACATGACAGTACCATTGTACTTTCAATGTTTTATTTACAACTTTTGTACAGCAATGTACCGTCTTACAAATTACGATATTTTTAGTGTCCGGCAGTCTTCTGAATTAACAGAGCAAGTCTGCCGATTCTGAACCTTGTCCAATAATGTTACAATCATGAAAAGTATATTTTATGATATGAAATGTACGAACAATTGGCAATAACATTTATCCCCTATTAATATGTTAATTAGAAGATTTACTGTATTTAAATTAATACGTGTAACATTCAACATCGTAAAAGGTCTTCATTCTCTAGCTCTTAAGTTGCAGTAGCAGACCCACTCCTTATTTAAACAGCGAGAGCAACAATGTACAATTTCACGTACAGTACTGCACACAGTATTTGGAAAACTATATTAACACTATTTTTGTAACATAGTACAAACATTAATATAACAAATATCACAGAAAATTTTCAGTGAAAGATTATTGACATTACAGTATTATCTTAGGATTTCCTGGCGAAAATTGTCCAATTCCATGACGCTGCGAGACAACCTGTAAGAAAAAATGTAAATTTTAGAAAAGGTTGCTAAATACTGTACTCGCCAAATAATACACAACAGCAGTAAAAAATGTATAGCTGCAGACCTTTTATTTTTATGCCAGTTTGCCTACAAGTGGCTTTATCAGCTGATGAAACATTGTAATAGTAAAAGGTCTTATGCTATGTTTTTTTTTTTTTTACCACTTGTTGGCTCTCAACCATACTGCAAATACATAATCCACCACAGTTTAGCACTGAAGCGCTATACTGTAAATGTAATTCCCATTTCACCATGGATGCTTGAAATAATATATCTGGCAACCACAGCAGAGCCCCCAGTATCTGCAAATTTGGTATCCGCAGTTTCAGTTATCCATGGTTTATTGTGGCCTAAAAATAACCCTTAATTTTGCTTAACCCTTCAACTGTCCAAACGTAGATCTGTTTGCACTGCTAGCGCTCCGAACGTAGATCTACATTTTATTTTACATGCTTTCAAATATAAAAAAAAAAAAAATGTAGATCTACGTTTGGACAGTTTAACCCTTTCGGGGTTTCGGCAGTACCAGTACGGCTTACGCGCCAGGGCTTTTGACATACTAGTACGCATAAATTCTAGCGCCCTCAAATCTAGCAAGAGAAAGCTGGTAGGCCTACATATGAAAGAATGGATCTATGTGGTCAGTGTGCACAGTATAAAAAAAAAAAAAATCCTGCAGCACAGTGCATAATGAGAAAAAAGCCGACCGTGTTTTTGGTTTAAAACAGCGACTTTGCACTGTATTTACGTATGGTATTTATGGTTGTATTCTAGTGTTCCTGGTCTTATTTTATAGAATGGAAGACATATTACAGAAATTGAGATGATTTTGATTGGTTTCACAATGAAAAGTACCTTGAAATTGAGCTCTAAGTTGCAGAAATGTTCGATTTTTGCCAAAGTTCAAAAGTAAACAAATCTGCCACGCTGGTATTATTTATACCATTTCTACACTAATACAGTAGTCTGCATAACAGTAAATCTTCTATTTTTTGTGAATAAAAATTCAAAGTGGAAAGCAAAAGAAATGCAAGAGGGGCATGGGGATGTGACTAATAAACAGAGGAAATGTTATTTTAGTGCCAGGAATGTCTTTCTTGTTTATTCTGGACCCTATTTGGAAACTGGCATCTTTTGATTATTATTATTATTATAATCAAAAAGAAGCGCTAAGCCACAAGGGCTATACAGCGCTGCGGCATCTTTTGAAATTTGTGTGAAATTGGCAAAATTGCTAAATTCTGACCACTTCATTGGATAGTTGAAATCGGTAAATGGGTGGTTTCTTGTACTCATTCGATAGAAAAAACTGAGTTTTAGCGAAATAGTTATGATTTTTGTCAACTAGTACACGAATTGGCCGAAAATAGCTCAAAGTGGGCAAAATTGCCGATGCGTAAACATCATCGAGACCGCTAACTTCGCGAGAGCATAATTCCGTAAGTTTCCCATCAAATTTCATACTTTTGGTGTCATTATGATCGGGAAAAGATTCTCTATCTTTTCATTAATTTTTTTTTTTTAAATTTTGGCGACCCTGAGAGCAAGTCTCTGAGAGGGCCTGGCGACCCTCAAAGGGTTAAGGATTAATAATGGTCACAGAGCACAAAAGTAGTGATGATGGCAGTTCTTCAAGGCCTAAAGGAAGCCATGAAGTGCTTCCCATCTGTAAAAAAAAAAAAAAAAAAAAAAAAAGTGCTAATTCTAGACTTATTCTCCATAATTTATCAATTAAACTTTATCAAAGGTATGTACGTAAATGAAAAAGGACATATATATATACACGTATCCCCTGCAGATATGGGAGGGGACTACTGTGTTTTCCTTGGCAAAATTAATTTTATTTTTGACAAACCACTAATACGATGAATAATTTTTTTTTTGTTTTTTAACACGTCAGCCATTTCCCACCGAGGCAGGGTGACCCGAAAAGAAAAACCCAAAAAGAAAGAAAACACTTTCATTATCATTCAACACTTTTGCCATCACTCATACATAATCACTGTCTTTGCAATGGCACTCAGATACAACAGTTTAGATGTCCCTCCAAACTGCCAATATCCCAAACCCCTCCTTTAAAGCGCAGAGTGCAGGCATTGTACTTCCCATTTCCAGGACTCAAGTCCGGCTAACCGGTTTCCCTGAATCCCTTCACAGCTCGAATGGTTTTTAGGACCTGACATCTCCGTTCACTCCTAACACGCTCACGCATGCTTGCTGGAAGTCCAAGCCCATCGCCCCCTTTAATTTTACAAAGTACAATTTACAATCAACACTTTTTAGAAAGCCTCTGGGTTTAGAAAACAGATTCTAATTACTATACAAAGTTGTGGATTAAAGACAATTTATTTCAAAACAAAGGATTGAAAGTTATGGGCCACATGAAACATGTTTGAATATTTATACCACTTATAATACACTAAGTTCTCCATGGGGAAGCGGAAAAGAATTCTTCTTCTGCAAGCTGTATGTGTCGTAAGAGGAGACTCAAATGCTGGAAACAAAGGGCTAGTGACCCCTTCTTCTGTATAAATTACTAAATTTAAAAAGAAAAACTTTCATCTTTCTTTTTGTGTCATCTCACCTCTGTGTGTTAAAGAAAGAAAAAACACTAAATAAAGTATAACTAATTTAATTTACTCCTTATCCAAGATGAATTCTAAAGAGACATATTACTTTAAAAACAAAAATGTCTTTTGATGCAGGCAACAAAGACAGGTGGCAATGCTACATCCTGTGGCCTAGCTGTTTCCGTAGTACACTATCCAGTAATTTCCTTTATATACTAAAATTACTCCTCCCCCCCCTTTTTTTAAACTCAAGAGGCAGAAATGCAGAGCATGATTCATATATGCAGTTTTCCATTCTGCTCAAATCTTAAATAGCTTTATGAATGTCTTAGTCAAAGGTAATAAACTTGTATAAAATATTTTAGATTCTAGTACATCCCATGTTTACAACTGTGAGGGAAAAGTTCAACAGATAGGAGTAGCGAGCGAATATATGGTGACGATAGTTTGATTGCCAGTCTGCTTGTTAAGGTAGGGTCAGTGTTTAGCTCCCTCTATCCCTCCCCTTCTCCACACTGAAAGATGACGTGTGGGGACTCCGACCAAGTGGATAATCACTTGACTTGCAGCTGCCAACACATCTGTAAGTAAAATGCCTCGGCTCCTGTTTTGTTTGATATATTAGTTAAAAGCTTCACTTTTATCTAATCTTGAGACTTAGCTCATCCTGCCTTGACTTTCATGTTTAAAAAATCTTGTCTTTAAATCCTCACCATTCTTTTAAATGCCTTACACTTACCATGGAGAGTGATTTATTGAGCAGTGGTTAACTTCTCTCTCTCTTTCTAGCTTGGACTGTCAGCTAGGATCATCTGGCAACTACAGAGACATATTACAGTTTGAAGGAGAGGAACCTAACCAGGTTAAGAGACGTCACCCACGATTTACATACCATATTGTAGCTACACCCAGGCAGCTAAACCTCATCTCTGCAGTGGTGAAAGACCTGCGTTCCTATCATCTTGATGGATCATTCAAGGCTAGACATACTGTGACTGAATAGTTGCTGGGTTGTCACTCACCAGCTGTGACCCCCCCCCCCCCACAGCATCAGCAACGGCTACAGTTTCTATAAAGCGCTGTGTCAACAACATCGACATGATCTACCTGTACAAATTAGCATTGAATTCAATTATAATTTTTTTCTATTTCGTTTTTCTTTCAAATAGGATAAAAACCCATGTGTGTGTGTTTTACATTTTCAATTCTTACAATAAAGTGTTTATATTTGTATGTTATTGTTATTTTTTCTATAATTTCTTTTCCTAAGGAGGAGCCAGCATTGGCAACACTAACATAAGATCTTACAGGGCTGAGTAAGCCTTCACAACAAATCTCCACATAATTCTCCCCTCAAGGGAGGTTCCTTGATGCTAATGAGGGGCTCCTGATCTAGGGAATTGGATCTGTGCTTCACTTCCCTGAATTAAGCCTGAATGCCTTTCATCCCCACCCCCTACAGGCACTGTATAATCCCTTCAGGTTTAGTGCTCCCCATAATAATTATCCACATAATTCTGTAACCCATAAAACAAACTGGGGGGCTGATGCTCCTCACTGACGAGGACATTTCTGTAATCCATCTATTTCCTCTTTAGTAGTTCTGTATCCAGGTTTAATGAACCTGACATAGTGACTTGCCTGCTTAACACGTATAAGACCAATACAGTAATAAACTCTTACACCAATTTTACACACAGTTAATATTCTCCTGTTTGCAGGTGCACTAAAATTTCCTCTAACGTTGACGAATATAACTTCCAGTACCATTTGGCTACCTTTCTCAGCTGGAATGGCATCTCACCTTACATTTACATTATTTCTGTGCATACAGCTAGACTGAACCATTACGGTAGTCAGCATAAATTTAGCTAAACCAACAGTGGATCAGATTTAGAGACTCACTCTCCCAGTTTTTAACCCTTTCAGGGCTGGAACCCCTGATCTGAAGCTTGCTCTCAGGGTTGAAGAATTTAAAAATAAAAATTATTTTTCCTTATGAATTGATAATCTTTTTCAGAAGGTAATGAAACCAAAAGTATGAAATTTGGAAAGCTTATGAAATTACGCTCTCGCAAAGTTAGCCATCTCCACGATATTTACACATCAGTGATTTTGCCCTCTTTGAGCCCTGTTTTCAGCCAATTCCACTGTTCCAGTTGACCAAATTTATAGTTATCTTGCTAGTATTCCTTCTATTGTATCGACTGAGGACAAGAAACCACCCCTTTGCCTATTTCAGCTACCCAATAAAGTGATAACACTGGTAATTTGGCCAATTTCACACAAAATTAAAAAATTGCCAATTTCAAAATAGGGTCCAGAATAAACAATGCAGACATTCCTGGCACTTAAACATTTCCTCTGTTCATTAGTCATATCCTCAGGCCTCTTCTACATTACGCTTGATTTCTATTTTGAATTTTTATTCACACAAAAAAATAGAAAATTTACTGTTATGCAGATTACTGCATTATTGTAATAATTGTATAATGTAGAACGCATCTGTGGACATGCATTAGACTGACCAGTTGGACGCGTACTGGATGAGTGACTCAATTTGTGTACTCTGGAATATCAGCAAAAATTGAACATTTCCACTACTTTCAGTCCTGAAACCAATCAAAATCATCTCCATTTCTGTAATATATCTTCCAGTCTATCAAATGAGACCAAGAAACTGAGAATACAACAATACAAACCACATGGAAATACACCACAAAGTTATTGTTTTAATCCAAAAACATGGTCCCTCCCCATCTTTTTTTTTTACCCATTATGCAATGCTTGCTGCCGGATATTTCTTTTCATATAGTGCACACTTGCCACAATGACCCATTCTCTCATATCTAGGCCCAAATTTAGCACTCAGCTTATCTAAGTGAGCTGATCTCATGGTATAGAATGACGGGTCTGACCCGCGCTTCAAAGCCATGGTACTATGGGACCCACCCTGAAAGGGGTTAATAATCCACCATTTATCCCATTCCCTTAAAATAAACGAATGAGAAGTGGGCAGCCAACCAAAATAGTTGCCAACATCTGGGCAAACATACCGTACTGTTCAGTTTCTTGATATCAGCCAATCAGTCACAAGCACTGCATACACACACACAAATTCATCCATTTAGTAACAGATGAAACCAGAAAATGGTAAAATAAATTTTGTAAAATAAACAAAATAAATTTACTAACCTTCCAAACGCATTGAAAAGAGAAACAATTTCTCCTCGTGACAGTTGAAACTTGGTTTGTTTCACTGCTGACAAATTTAATTGCTGGTCCAAAGGCTGATCAAAGTTACCCGAGAATAGGATCTTCAGAGCCGTTCCCAAACCAGTAACCTGCAACAGTTATGTCAACTGGTGAAAAACTTGTAACTACCTACAAAGCAGGGGTAAGTAGTTAGATAAGATGAAGATTTTATTTCCTTGTAAAGTTACAATGTGTAATTAAAATTTTGGTTTAATAAGTACAAGGAAAGCCACTAACGTGCAAGGGCTTTCGGGCAGACTAATCCTAGTACAGTGGACCCTCGTTTTTCGCAAGCATCGGAAATCGTAATTTTCGCAAATCTTAACGTTTTTTCATCAAAATATTGACTCGCGAATCGTCGTTTGACTCACAAATAGTGGACCCTCGGCTAACAATATTAATCCACTCCTGAGAGCTCATTGTTAGATGAAATTATCGTTAGCCAAATTAATTTTCCCCATAAGAAATAATGGAAATCCAATTAATCTGTTCCAGACAGCCAAAAGTATTAAAAAATAATTTTTTTTTCATGAAATATACATTTCCCTACAAAGAAAATAATGAGACATGCACAATAACTATATAAATAAATGTTAAAATGAGACTTACCTTTACTGAAGAGTACTGATGAGTGATGAGACACTGTTTTTTTTTTAACACTCTGGGATTTTCAGAGTGATACACGAGTAAAGGCTTCACTTTGCAATCCTCACTAGCATTACAACTAGCATTTCCTGAGTAATGTAGGTCCTGTTTGGCATTTACTTCCAGAACAGGCCTGTTTCGTCACAATTGAACACTTGCTGGGGTTGGAATTTTTCAGCTTCGCCATGCCTTATCACACTGTGTATGCCACTACGATTCTTAACTCTTTCAGGGTCCAGACGCCAAATTCCAAAGTGCGCACAAGTGTCCAAGAGTTTTAAAAAAATAATTTTGCTATTTTATCTAATGAAATGGTAGAGAATCTTTTTCTGAAGGTAATAAAATAAAAAGTACGAAATTTGATAGAAAATTGACGAAATTATGCTCTCGCAAATTTTGATGTGTCAGCGATATTTACGCATCGGCGATTTTGCCGAATTTGACTCCCATTTTAGGCCAATTACATTATTCCAGTCAGCCAAATTCTTAACTATTTCACTAGTATTACTTCTATTCTATCGATTGAACACAAGAAATCACGAACTCAACTGTTTCAACTACAAAACAGTGACTGGAAATTGGTAATTTGGCCAATTTAGTGGAAAGTTCAAAATATTCCAATTTCAAAATAGGATCCAGAATAAACAATGCAGGCATTCCTGGCACTAAACTAACATTTCCTCTGTTCATTAGTTACATTTTCAGGCTTTACAAGTGAACTCCATTTTGATTTTTAATTCACATAATGAATTTTTATTCAAACCAAAGAATAGAAGATTTACTGTAATGCAATATTGTAATAATTGTATAAATAATATCAGCACATTTGTGAATGTATATTAGAATCACCAGCTGGCATGTATTAGACATGTGAGGTCACTTGTTTACTCCTGAATGTCGGCAAAAATTAAACATTTCTGCTAATTTGAGCTCAGTTTCAAGCCATTTTCAGTACTAAAACCAATGAAAATCATCTCTATTTCTGTCACATATCTTAATTCTATCAATTGAGACCAAGAAATCGCAAATACAACTATAAAAAGCATACAAAAATACACTGCAAAGCTGCTGTTTTAATAAAAAAATTACAGTCTCAGTTCTTTTTCTCTCATTATGCACTGTGTGCTGCACGATTAGTTTTATGTGCACATATACCACATAGATATCTCTCATATCTAGGCCCAAATTTACCAGTCACAGCCTTTCAGAGTGAGCTGAGCTCATGGCGTAGATCTACGGTTTGGACCCTCAACGTAAAGCTGTAGATCTACGGCACGGACCCTGAAAGGGTTAAATCTCTCAAACCAGCCTTTGCTGGCCTTAAATTCACCAATATGAGCACTAGCTCCAGGCATTTTTTCCTGTTCACCTGGGTGTTAGTCGACTGGTGTGGGTCGCATCCTGGGGGACAAGGTTAAGGACCCCAATGGAAATAAGTTAGACAGTCCTCAATGACTCACTGACTTTCTTGGGTTATCCTGGGAGGCTAACCCTCTGGGGTTGTTTCTCGGTAACTGTTTCTCATTAAGCCACACCAACAACAGTCTCTCCACATCTTCGAGTAGTACAGCTGACAGTGGTGCAGCAGCAGCTGACTGTGGTACGATAGTATTTCGATAGTATTTCTCACCCTTTTTTACCACAGGGTTGGCACTAGAAGCTTTCTTTGGACCCATGGTGGCTTATTTAGCAGTTACAATCACTATAAACAATGGAATAATACAAAATGTATCGAATGTATGCATGAAACCGGCCACCCTGGCTTGTAAACAATGACAGCAGGGCAGCTGAGGAGCTCAAGCTGGACGGGCAGGTTCGGGACGAATCACGCTGGGAAAGTTTTTTTTATCGTTAGCCAGGCCAAAAATTTTACGCTCAAACACTTCGTTGGGTGGATTTAACGTTATGCGATGTGTTCGTTAGCCGAGGGTCCACTGTGGTTGTTCATCCCAGATGCATATGAGCAGCCCCACACACCATTCACGGTCAATGTGCCATTGTTTATCAGTGAGTGAGCACGATCCCACACGTTCATGAAATACATTTCTTAATATTCCATTCGTTTTAGTGCTTGCAACTGCTAAATAAGCGTCCATGGGCTCAAAGAAACCTCCTAGTGCCAAGTCTTTGGTAATTCATTCAAATTCAAAGTTTATTCTCTATAAGGATTACAATGTTGAATTTACATTATTATTATTATAATCAAAAAGAAGCGCTAAGCCACAAGGGCTATACAGCGCTGCAGGGTAGGGAAGGAAGCGAGGGTATTGGATGGCAGAAGGGAGGAGGGATGATCAGTAGGTTACAGAAAACAGCGGGGCAGGGGATAGTACGGGGGTAGAGGGTAGCAAGAGATTGAAGTAGAAAGGGCTGAAGGTATCAGAATTTGTGAAGTCAGTCAGTTGTCAAAAAGTCAATTAGAGAGTCTGGATGAAAGGTGGGTCCATCAGCGAGAAGGGAAGGTAAAGAGAGAGCAGCGGAGCGAAGACGACGACAGAGGTAAATTCTGCGTGCTCGTTGATAAAGTGGGCAGTCCAACAGAATGTGGCTGACTGATAATGGAGCTTGGCAATTCTCACAGAGAGGAGCAGGGCGCCTCTCCATGAGATATCCATTAGTAAGACGAGTATGGCCAATGCGAAAACGGGAGAGAGTAGTCTCCCAACCTCGACACTGGTGATAAGAAGACGGCCAGTAACCTATACTCGGTTTAATAGATTGAAGTTTGTTGCCGAGCATAGTAGACCAACGCTGTTGCCAACAGGTGTGAAGGTGGGAAGATATTGCAGCAAAATAGTCCGTAAATGGAATACCTCTATATGAAACTGGTAGGTCATGTACTGCTGACCGCGCAGCAGTGTCTGCCTGTTCATTGCCCTGTACGTCAACATGACCAGGGACCCAACAAAAAACAATACAGTGGACCCCCGCATAACGATCACCTCCAAATGCGACCAATTATGTAAGTGTATTTATGTAAGTGCGTTTGTACGTGTATGTTTGGGGGTCTGAAATGAACTAATCTACTTCACAATATTCCTTATGGGAAAAAATTCGGTCAGTACTGGCACCTGAACATACTACTGGAATGAAAAAAAGTTCGTTAACCGGGGGTCCACTGTATCTTTATGCTTGGTAAAGATGCGGCGTAGCCAAAGTTGGATACGGAGGACTAAGGGGTGAGGTGTATCAAATTTCTGTATAGCCTGTAAAGCACTAAGGGAGTCTGAGACAACCACAAATGATGACACAGGCATAGATGCAATACGGATAAGTGCTGTAAGGATGGCATACAATTCAGCAGTAAAAATACTAGCTGAAGATAGTAAATGCCCTTGTACGACGCTGTCCGGAAACACTGCTGCGAATCCTACGCCGTCAGAAGACTTAGAGCCATCTGTGTACACAGCAATGGCATGAGAATGAGAGTGAAAGTGGTCAAGAAAAAGAGAGCGGGAAGCGACCATAGACAGTTGGGCTTTCGAGCAAGGGAGAGAGAAAGAACAGACTCGAACAGCTGGAACTTCCCAGGGGGTAGGGAAAAGTGAGATGCTACATGTACATAGAAAGGTGGTAATTGAAGAGAAGACAAGAGCGAATGAAGGCGAAGAGAGAAGGGACGGAGTAAACGGGCGGCGAACAAATAAAGAATGTCTACTAATATCAGTGACCATTCTATAAATGGAAGGATTGCGGAGATCATGAGAGCGTACATAGTAGCGAAGGCAATGGGCATCACGGCGATCGGATAAGGATGGAACGTTCGCTTCTGCATAGAGGCTCTCGACAGGGGAAGAGCGAAAAGCACCAAGGCATAAACGTAATCCTTGGTGATGAATGGGGTTAAGGCTAGAGAGAGTAGCAGGAGATGCCGCTGAATAGATCTGGTCACCATAATCAAGTTTCGATAAAATAAGGGTGGAATGTAGGCGAAGGGGGGTTCGACGATCAGCTCCCCATGAAAGATGAGCAAGGGTTTTAAGAAGGTTCAGCCGGCTGTGACAAGTTGCCTTCAGAGAGGTAATGTGAGGTTTCCAGGATAACCTAGGATCAAAGAGGAGGCCCAGAAGCTTGACTGTATCACGTTCAGGGATACGGGAGCCATAGAGGGTACAAAGGATGATCGGAGATGACAGAGCGTCTAGTGAAAGTAATTTGGTGGGTTTTAGTGCTGGAAAATTTAAACCCACGTGTGGTGGCCCAATTGGAAACACGGTCGACTGCATGCTGGAGAGAAACTGTAATGAGGTGACGGTCAGCGCCTGCACAGGCAATAGCGAAGTCATCAACATAGAGTGATGACCAAATATTTGATGGAAGACTAGAGGCCAAATCATTAATAGCAAGGAGAAAAAGTTTTGTGCTCAGAACACATCCCTGGGGGACACCTTCAGCTTGGATAAAGTCTGGGGAGAGCACATTATTAACCCGAACACGGAAATGC